CTATAGTTAAAAGATCGGGCTTTTCTTTTAATTTATACTGAAATTTTGAGTCAGTAAATGGACTGACAAAAATAAATTTATATCAATATAGACAAAAATAAATGCATATTAATCTATACAAATTCTTGCAAAATTCTCTATGTCCTCCTCTCCTTGATCTCCCTTTCTTGCATCGAGTATTTGAGTTGCTAAATGGACTCTTAAAAAAATAAAGACCAGTTTTAAAATTTAATCTGAAATTACAAATTGAAATATGCTCTGAGTGATACTTGTTCAACGCTGAGGGCAGAACCCAAATCCTGTAGGTATTCCTGAATGAGCAATTAAAACACTTTACCCTAGAAGGGCCGGCATGTGACTCATAGAAACAAAGAAGAAAAGATTTTACCGGGATAGAAGAACCGATAAGGGATAAGGGGAGAAGAGAAGTCGGTGAAGATTTCCGTCACACAGCTTTTGCTAGACGATTTTGGATTGGCTATACAAAACCACGCACTATAAATAAGCCATGCCTCTTGAAGTAATATAACCCTCCCCATAATTTACGTAGTGTTAGTGTTGTAGTGGTGCATTGGGAATTCCAAAAGTCTAGCCAGTAGCCACTTTGATCGGCCAATTGAATCCGGAGTACCCAATATACGGAGTCTAGATTTTGTTTGCTCGTTAGCCGCCCAAATTAAATGCATTGGCTTTGCCGAGAAAATACTCCGTATAAATTAGAAGCTCGAAATTTAAACTCAAAGTTGATCGGTCAAACAATCAATGAATCTCGCTGATCAAGAACGAAATACAAAAAAAAAAAACTAAAAAAGAAAAGGGACAGCTATAGTGTTCCCGCCCAAAATCTTCTCCCCACTATTTTGTTATTATATATATATAGATTATGATTATAATCTAACATCAGAATTCTTTGTCATGTCCTTTCTTATTCAAAAATATCGATATGTCCATTCAACAACATTGTAATTGTCATAAAATAAATCAATAAATAGTCGATTATTCTCACACCATAGCTAAATCATCCCAAATTTTATCGGGGCATTGCTCGAGCAAAACTCTAGTATATCATACGGAGTATATAATACAGCATCCGTCACGTTAAGATTGATTAATCCCAAATTTAATAAAATTGTGTGGTTTTAAATCATTTTTAATTTATCAATTTAATATTAACAACACAACCTCATTTTTCTTAATAAACCCACCACCGTTTCATATCTAATTGTTAGTGAGATGGAGATTGTATTTATTTACAAAAAAACATTACTTCAATACTGGGCAAAAGCTAAAGCGCGCCTTGTGGACCAAACGCTGGTTCATTTAGATATGTTTGGTTGTAATGAGAGAGAACAGAAATTTTAGTGTGGGACTTCTAGATAATAAGATTTTATTTTGAGTGTCTAAAATTGTTTACCACATGCCCAAAATCCAAGGTCGTACACTTGTATATCAAGCTACTTGAGTAATAGGACTGTGTTAACGTAACAATCCAACGAAATATAATGATCTTCCAACATGAATCTAGGTACTGAAATGTCAAAGACATTTTCAAGAGATGCACAAATCCTTAATCATACATTTTTAAATCAAATTTCTAAGTGATAGATAAATTTATTTCATAGAGTATCAAACAAAATAGGTTCTCAATTTGGACCAAATATAATGATCCACCCGTTATTTGGACCAGTTATAATGATCCACTGGTAAAAGGGATCACTATGTTTACCGGTGTGTAATACTATTGGATGGTCAAGGACATTCTGAAATGTTGACATGCGTAGCATCTTTGTGTTAAGTTGGTTCAATCTCTGACCATAATTGGCCAAAAAGAGACTTGAACGATAAGCCTTCGGGACATTATGTTGAAGGGTCCCCAAGAGCAACAAATTTACCAATACAATTTTCGTTTGATAAATTCTTATAATTGGTATTAATGGTACTAGTATATACGGAATAACATATAATCATCAGCAACACAACATATATTTTTTGGTCCACGGTCAAATTTTGGTAAGTATGATGACTGTTGCCCACATGCAATTCGTTTCAATTGAAGAATGCATCCTCATCACGGCTATGAATTGGGATGACCGTTTCCCATCAATGGGTGTTAAGACCCGGAGTTTTATTCTAAAAAGTCAACTTGATAAGAGAAGTAGTTTGTGTCTTAATATAACTTTGTTGATTCATACTTTTCTGGTGTGGGACTCTAACACCCCTCCTCACGAGGGGACACTTCGTCTGAATCGTGTCATCATTCTTTTTTTTCTCGTTGACTCGTCATTGTCATTTTTTTAATAATCGCGTCGTCTTTTTCATAAGGGGACCCACACCGTGATTATGGATCGGTTTGGCTCTAATACAATGTTAAGACTCGGGGTTCCATCATAAAAGGTTAACCTGATAGGAGGAGTAGTCCATGTCTTAATATATGACTTTGTTGATCTATACTTTTCTAGTGTGAGACTCTAACAATGTGTAACAAGTGGCTGGACCAATTGAGATATTCTAATTTCTATTTGCCCCAAACCTCAAAAGACATTCCTACATATATTCAAGCCATAAACAAGACAAATATATAAGACGACTTATTAGTACCCAAAAGAAAACGAAAATTCGAACATTAACTTTTCATAATAAACCGTCGTATATAACTTTTGTAGCATTTTTATTCATGAAGAAACGAGAAAAATATTTGAAGAAATTGCACGAATGCCAATAAATTCTAATACTAGGAACTTCATCTTTTTGTAATTAACCATATACGTAGTAATATCGTATATAGATAGTATATGTTTATCTCATTGTCGATATGCGGGCAATTGTCAATTGTCATTGGCATCGTTTGATACTTTGATGAATATAGCTAGGGACGCACATTATATATTTATATTCGATCTATTTAATGATATTTTCTGGATATATAATAGCTGCACCAAATTGTTTATTATGCTAAAATAGAAAGAAATTGCCCTATTGGAACTAAAAACGTTCTGGACTAAAAATTGGAGTATTATAATTTTATTCTGGAAATAAGAGTCATTATTGTCATAATTGGAAAATATTGTCATTAATTACAGTAAATATTGTCATGTTACTGCCTAGTATTGCCATTATTTTGATGGTTTTGACTCCATAATGACAATATATATGATCATGTTACTTCTAGTGTTATATTTGAAATTTTATATTATTTTACTCCTAGTTTGAGAATTTTCCCTAAAATAAATAGATACCTACAATAAGAGAATGAAGACTTATGCTAGAAAACTCAAATAAGGCAAGAGTTTTTTTTTTCTTTTAATGGAAGCAATTTCACCCTTTGTACTTCAGGTCTCTCAGTCACCCGCCCCCGAGGTAAAAACAAAAAAAAGTAGAGCTTCAAAGCTTTCAATGGCATTGTTTGGCAAATAGCTGTTAGCTGGTAGATGTTAGCTGGTTGTGTAAGCTGGTTGTTAAATTAATAGCTGTTTGTATTAGATGTTTTGATTAGATGATCATGTAAGCTTATTATGAATCAACGTTTGGTAAAATTAGATGTTTGTAAATAGCTGATTGACGCAAAAAGACATTTAAGGACATGACATTTATTATTTGTGTTGCTATTTTAATAATCAACAAGTTGGGTTTTAGTTTTCTCTTCTTTTATCTCTTACGGAATATTTTTTATTTTCCTTTCTCCCTTTTTCTTTTCTCTATTCTAATAATGTATTATCTTGGGACTTATGTGTAATTACCCTAATTACGCTTTATTATAAATATAAGCTTATGGCACCCAATAGGGTAAGCCATTATTTCCCAATTCTATTGTTTTGTATATGGTATCAGTTGCTAGGTTTTTCCAAACCCCTACCTATGGCCGGCCGTACCACATCCGCCGCCGATAATACTTCCGTTTCTCTGCCCTCGGGAATGGCGCCCGCAGGCCAGGAGCCGCCATCCCAAACATCTTTGACAGCATCTCCTGTGTTCGATGTCTCCTCTGGTTCCACCATGTCGCGCATCGCGGGCTCGCCTCATCCGTCTTCTACGGCGATGTCCCCAGCTGAAGCTGCGCAGCAGAGTCCATCTCCACTTCCGGCGTCTCTATCCCAACGCCTTCCTACAATTCCCTCGCTCGACTCCTTCCGGTTATTTAATATGCCGGAGCCATTCAGCTGGACTCCCACACCATCAACTGCACCGCAATCCACCGTTCCAGGCCTCCCAAACATTGGTGGTTTATCTCTTGGCTTCTCGGGTCCAACGTTTTCTGGTCAACGTGGAATTGCGCCAATACAGCAGACTACTCCGTCCTATTTACCAGGTTTCAATCAAGCTCCCAGCTTATTATCCTCCATGGCATCTCAACTTACCTTTTCTACACCGAATGTTAATAATATTGTTACTACACGTTTATCTGCGGTTGAGGACTATTTGCCATGGCGGACTCAGTTTGAGTCTTTTCTAGTATCCCACAGTTTATTTGGGATGTTAGATGGCTCCATTCCGGTTCCACCATCCACTATACTGGATTTGAGTAGACGGGAGACTATTAATCCGGATTATCATCATTGGTTAAAAATTGACCAAACAGTGCGTTCTTGGATTTTTGCTACTCTTGCTAGGGATATTCTGATGGATGTTTATAATCTTAAGCATTCACAACTTATTTGGGATAGACTTCAACAACGATTTATGTCTGCCTGCCTTTCACGATCCATAGAACTTAAACGTTCTTTATCACATATCAAAAAGAAATCTTCACAAAGTATGGATCAATATTTACTAGAAATTAAGGTTTTGGCAGAAAACTTAGCGGCTATAAATTCTCCAGTTAGTGATAAGGATTTAATTGAATATGCCATTCTTGGACTTGGGCGTGGCTATGAGTCACTTATCACGGCTATCAATTATTTTCCTGGCAATGCTACACTGGACAATTTAAGACCTATCCTTGAAGCACAGGAGAAGACGAATGCCCTATTTGATGCCCAGGATTCGGTACCAGTGCATCAGGCCTTTGCAGCGGCCAATGCTAATGCTCCAGCAGTGCAAGGTGGCCGTGGGGGTGCTCCTCGGCCAGGGGGTGCTCCGCGTGGTCCCGGGGGACGTGGTCAACGCGGTGGTCGGACTCGTGGCGGACGAGGCCGAGGTGGCCGCGGGAACTATCAGCAGCAGCAACCATACGGTGCACCTCAACCGTATGGTGGTCAGTACGGACAACAACAGCCCACTCCTCCACAGCCACGTGGACCTGCATTTTCTGTTTTCCCAGGTTCGGCATTATGTAATTTCACTTCTGGTATTAATTGTACTGTTTATTCTCCTATTTCTGCTACTCACACGTTCAGTGCAGGTTTTCCGTCTGTGGATCAGTCCTATCAGTCTCCTCCACCCCCAGTTGTTTGCCAGTTATGTTTTTCCCCAGGTCACTCCGCCATGCATTGCTCCCGTTTTACTGGTTCCGCGTCTCCTGCTCTAGCTGCTTTACCCACTGGTGAGACCAATGATTCAGTTTGGTACCCTGACTCTGGAGCTTCAGCTCATATGACTCCTCATGAAGGTATTCTTTCTTCTAAAACTACTTACACCGGTCCTAATCAAGTATGTGTCGCTAACGGTACCAAACTACCTATTTCACATATTGGTCATTTAAAGCTTAATACACATGGCCGCCCGTTAAACTTAAACTCAGTTTACCATGTTCCTCACATTAAATACAATTTACTTTCCATTCAAAAGTTGTGTGCGGACAATGCCTGTCAAGTTATTTTTGATAAAAATTCCTTTCGTGTTAAGGACACGCAAACGGGGGAGCTTCTACTTCAGGCAACTAATAAAGATCACATTTATCCTTTTCATGCTCTTCATGCCCGAGTTGTTCCTGGTCCAATCTGGCACAAGCGTCTGGGGCATTGTGGTGATAGAGTCCTTGGTCGTCTTAAGCAGCAAAATTTCATTTCTAGTTCTTCTACTTTTTTACATGACTGTGTTTCTTGTAAGTTGGGTAAATCCCACAGACTTCCTTTTAGTGATGTTATTCATAACTCCACTGCACCATTACAGATTATTCATTCTGATGTTTGGCAATCGCCGGTTTTATCCAATCTTGGATATAAATATTATGTCTCCTTTATTGATGATTTTTCTCGATATACATGGCTTTATCCTATGCGTAGAAAATCTGAGGTTTTTACTCACTTTCTTAATTTTCAAAAATTAGTTGAAAATCTTTTGAATTTGAAAATTAAAGTCTTTCAGAGTGATGGTGGTGGTGAATTTGATAACTCTATTTTTCAACATCATTTTTTATCGTCTGGAATTTTATTTAGAAAGTCTTGCCCAGACACTCCTGCTCAAAATGGTGTAGCTGAGAGAAAACATAAGCATTTACTCGAATTAACTAGGACTATGTTAATTGATTCCTCTCTTCCTAGTCAATTCTGGGTTGATGCTTTATACACGGCGGTTTTTATTATTAATCGACTCCCTACGCCTATTTTGAGTGGGATGACTCCTTATGAGAAACTCTTTCATAAAATTCCAGATTACAATTTCCTCCGTGTGTTTGGATGTTCTTGTTTCCCTAATAATGTATTATCTTGGGACTTATGTGTAATTACCCTAATTACGCTTTATTATAAACATAAGCTTATATTTATAATAAAGCGTAATTAGGGTAATTACACATAAGTCCCAAGATAATACATTATTATATTCCTCCTAGGCTTGTTTTGTTCTACCGTTCTATGCTTTTAATTTTCTCCCGATTCTCCCTCTTTAGCCTCCTTTGTATTTTTTTTTGGTGTTTCTTCCTTTTTTTACTTTCAGATGGCAACTCGTAAGAAACGGGACTTCAACCCATGTTCCCTATAAACCCATTTCCTTCCTATGGCAGATTCTTCTTCATTCTTTTCCGTTTTTTTGTTTTGTTTTTTTATTACACTTGAGGGAGCAACTAATAGAAGCAGAGATCCGGGAAATTTGTTGGAGTGGTGCCAAGGACGAAGAGCTGCGAAACAGAGGCGGTGGACATTCATTCATAAAAAGAGGAAATGACCTTTGGTTTTGATGAATTGCTGTAGATAAACGAACTACGAAAATCAAGGGGTATAAAAGAGTTTTAGGGGACCAGCCAAATCCAAACGCTGCCCTTCGTAGCTTTTCTCTTTTCGGTTTTTTCAACCCAAACAGTCAAGAGAAGCATCCAATTACCAAACGATAATATTGGCTGATTATATAGTCAAACAAGCTGATGTTGGTCAAAACAGCCAAAAGTTGGCTGATAAGCCGTTTCCCAAACGCAGCCAATGTGTTTGTACACAAGCATGTGTAAATGTAATTTATTAACTACATTCAAGCATATGGTTATTTAAACGTGTAATTTAAAGAGCTCCCAGTGATAATGGTCCTAATGTTTGTGGCCGAAAGGTCTCTTATCATCTACAATAGTTACGGTAGAAGAAACTCTAGCACATTTACGCTTCTCATTCTCATCTATACACTTGGCACATTCTTAAAACCTACTTCTCAATTCATGATAGAGGCTATATAGAATTAGTTTCACTTTTGGTCTTATATTATGAGTTTTGTGTTCCATTTTTAGTTCCCGCCTTTCATTTTGTTCACTTTTAGTACTTGGTTAATGTTTCTTGACCACTTGTGTTCTATTCTAGCAATTCTAACCACCGGAAACATTGATCAAAGTAAAAAATGTTTAACAATTGTGAAATTAGTTTGATATTTGTAGAATTTATTCAGGCTATTTATGTTTTAATTTATTCAGGCTGTTTGACAGGATGTCCAAGTCAAAAACCTATTCCCCATTCAAGCTTCAACTCCCTTTGATTTTTCAGAAACATGTGGTGGAAATCTGGCGGAAACCTTCCATTATTGAATTGCAATTAGAGTAGATTTGAATAGTACTCCGTATATTTTAAAATTATAGAAATTAGCACAACCAAGTTCAAACTTCAAATGCAATGAGTCAAAAGAAACGACATACGGAGTCATTATCAAAACTGATAGCAAATGTGAATAACACTGTTTCTCTATTGAATTAACTCCCAGTTACTCATTAAAATTGGATTATAAACCTAATACTTTAATGCTGCTGATTGGAACTAAATTACTATTGGACCAATTACATCTTATTTTAACATCTTAGCCATTGTATTTTAACACCGTTTTACTGAAAAGTTAATTTGATAAATTAAATCAATTCCCTTTGCATATGATCATATTACTATTGAGCACATGCAATACAAAAAGAAAAAACTTAAGATTCAATTATCAACGCTTTCCCCCTAAAGCAATACTACATAAGTGACATTCCACGTACGTCTGTTACTTTATATTTTTAGACTTTTACGTTGGTTTTTTTTAAACATAAACTAGGGTAGAAAACTTTTTAAATTTTTACATAAACTAGCGTAGAATACTTTTTAAATTCCTAATAACGATGGTTATTTGAACCGACAACAAATATGTGACATGATAGGTCATTCTTATAGTTGTGAAGCATAAACTGTCCAAATTGCAATGTATAACTAAATAACTAACAAGCTAGATTAACAAAAATTTAATATATTAAAGTCAATACAAATTCTACAAAAATATTCTAACCCATTACAAGTGAGTACCAAGAACACAAAATTCTCAAGTCTTCATAAATAATGTAGTAGACTGGATACATAACATAATACTATCTATATATATATAGAAAGGAAACATATGCACGAAGTAAATAGCAGCTATAAATGTGAACATCACGTACAATCACATATTCACATCACGAAGACTTATACGATAATATTTATTAACATTATTAGTGAATGGTTTATTGGTAAATGATACAAAGCGTACATATGTAATATATATAAATATTACAGAGTAAATAATAATTATAAAAGAAAGTATGGTTATCACATATAATTGGTAATATTTATATATTCAAATAAGAAGGGAAAAATGAAGCATATAATAAGATTTCTAAGCACTTCATTGTAAAAAACATTTGTAGTACTGTTGGTCTTTTCCCCTCTTCACCGCATACCAATATTTTCAAATTGTTATGATCTGTCACTTTGGGTACTGCAACATACAATTGGTCATGCGTAAATATTAATATTATGCGTAAATATAATAATGCATTTTTTTTATCTACCACACATAATCCAAATATGAAAATGTTATGTCTTAAAAATACTTTCATACAGGTATAAAATTAATCCCTCTTAAGTTTATTAACTAACACAATTAATCTCTCTTAAGTTTATTAACCACGTCCGTGCATTAATAAACCGAAGTTACTTACTTGTGAAACCATCAACGATTAACCATCGGTTCATTGATCGTTTCTAGTAGTAATTATTGTTGAGATGTTAACTAATTGTCATCTTAGCAACACTCCCCAACATTAATATAGAGATAGAATAAGAGAAGAATTAATATTCAAGGGAAGAAGTTAAGAAAATATGTAGTATAATGTAAGCTGCATGTTAGATGAGCAATTAATGGTCCTCACGTTCGACAGATTCAAACCCCGATATCTTCTACTTTCGTTGGCATTTTCAATTGACTTTGTATGAGCAATTTATGAGCAATCAATGCAGTCAAAGTTCCAATATCCGTTCAAATGACCCGACCCATTTTTAATGTAGAGCTTTATGCGGGAAATCCATCTGTATTTCCACCTCTTTTTATATGGAGTTAATATCTAGACGACATACTTGTGAATTAAGCAGCAAGCGATCGTCAGGACTCCCGAAATGAGCGAGGAAAGTAGTGAATAAGGGGTTATGGTCTTATGAATGTAATATTAACATCAAATTGTGTTTTTTCAGGTCGACGAAGGACGTTGGATGAAATTGTACGTATGTGACCAATAATGGGCCGTGTATTATCGGAACTGCTTGGCGCACCTTCACATTTGCTGTGCGCACCTCTTTTTTTCCATCGGTGGACACATTTGTCCTCTACCGAATTTGACCAAAGTTAGTTTCCTTAACTTTTACTCAGTAACTAACTTTATTCCTAAAAATTATTTTACTCCGTCCTCTATAATTGTTCTAATTTTTTTATATCTATTTATTATTGTCTTACCTTATTTGATTATATTTGTGTGACTCTGATTTATTTGTATTTTATTCTCACTTTATCAACTCATTATTAACCACATAATTCTACATTTTTTAGAAACCACATAATTCTTTAAGGGTTGGTTTGCAAACGCTTTAAAAAAAGCACTTATCAGCTTTTGTCTTTAAAAAAACACTTCTTTTACCAAACACCACAACTTTTATTTTTCTCGGCTTTCGTGTCAAAAGTGCTTTTACTTTTTCTAGTACACAAAAAACACTTATTTTACCAAACACCACCAACTTTTACTTTTCAAAATTACTTTTTTCTCAAACACTATCAACTTTTATTTAATCACTTCTCCCCATTTCATTAAAAAAAGCATTTTTTTAAAGCAGAAGCTGTTTCAAACAGACCCTAGAAATGCTCAAAACTTGATTACAAATTCCAACGGTC